ATAATAATATATATATATTATTTTTTTTTTGGTAAAGGAGTCTACAGCGTGAAAGGGAGGCATTGTGTAATGCATTTGCTCGGCATTGTTGGCTGCTGCTTTCTCATATATGGACCACTAGTAATTGCCTCCGTTGGCGCACTTGCAACACATCCACAGCTTTTGCTGTTGGCGCTGGGTGCCGCCTTTGTGGCGTTGTTTAGTCCTTTCATCACCGCGTTTTTTTATCTTGCGACAAAGCGAGCACCGCTAGCGCCGTTGCTTGTCGTCGTGAGCGTCACAGTCACCGGGGTGCTGCGGGTTGGGCTGCTTTTCGTACTTTACCGCGCGGAGTCGTTAACGCGTAGTTATGGGCAGCTGCTCGCCTCCAGTCCAATGCGCTTCGCCCTTGTCTCTGCTGCCGTGGGATGTGCGTTTGGGGCGGTGTCTGCCATGCGTGGGACGGGCACACTGCTTGACTCCACGCAGCGGTTGAAGTTCTACACGAAGGGGACGACGACGTATGACCTGAACGTCTGCCCGCGTCTCCCACTGCTGATGCATAGCGCCCTGCAGTCTTTCATGTTGCTGCTTTGCCAGGTGGCCTGGGCGGTGATGACCGGACAGGCCGTGGCCGCGTTGCAGGTGCTGCGGCAGCCGCAAAGGGCGTGGCGTCAGCTGCTTTATTTCTGCGGGGGCAACACGTCCGGCGGAGCTGTGGCTGTAGTGGACTCGCTGGAGACGTGCCCTGACGCTCCGGGCACGCCAGTGGAAGCCAGCATTTCGCCCCAGCCGGAAACTGCCGAACGGGCGCCATCACCACCGTTGTATTTGGCACCTCCCTGTGTGGAGGAGGAACTACCTGCTACGTCTTTTTGCGAGCGGGCTCAACGCACGGAGCGAGAGGCGCAGGAGGAGGAGGAAGAAGAAGAGGAAGAAGAAGAAGAAGAAGAAGAGGGGGATGCGACGAGGGCGGAAAAACATGTGCGTCCCATCTCCTCGCTCACGGAGGAGCCTAATCCCAATGCTGGTTTCGAGCCACTGTTGTCGCCGCAGGAGAAGCAGCCGATGGCGCTGCCTGAGCCCACATTGCTGTACAAAACTCCACTTTTGGCGGTGGCCTCTCTTAGCGCCGCCTTTGTGCTGCACCTGCTGTTCGCACTTGCCTCACTGCTAAACCTGGCGGCTCGCAGCGCGGGGACCAGGAGTGTGGCGCCACTGCGTGGCTGCGAGGTTTCTCTGCCTCTTCAGGCCACCATCACCGTAGTCTCGCTTCTGTGGATGGCAGCTCTGATACGCCTGGAGCGAGCCAGAGTGACTTGCGAGGGAGTGTGACGTGGGAGTGTGGAACTAAGAAAGAAGTAGAAGAAGAGGGAGAAGAAAAAAAAACAGTCTGAGCCTAGGCTGTAACTCCTCAGCAGTACACTTATTATTATTTATTATTTTTTTTAGCTGCCTGCTTGCCCTTGATTGCGTGTATGTGTGCAGGGAAGCTGCAGCGCCTCTTTGCACGTCTTCTAGTGACTCCCGCGTTCACTGTGCTTGTGCGTGCGTCAAGTAGTTTCTTTGGCGGTGTACTTCTGCTGCCACACGAAGGAATAGAGAAGAGGTTTTGTTGCTGTTTTAGCCTTAGTTCGCGCCTGCAGCCGGGTAGGATGCCCGTGGAAACGGTGGCTGTGGATGTGCCCACGGCAGTGTGCGAGAAAACTGCCACGCACGGCCCACGCGGTCCGTGTGCGTCGGGGGGCGATGATTTATGTGCCATTCCACGCACTGAAAGGCTGCTGCAGGCGATAGGCGAGAACAGTGATGGGGAGGTCGAACTTTTCCAAGGAGCACACGCTCGTGGGGCGGCTGCAGCCGAAGCAGGCATGCCGCATTCCTCCCAGTCGTCGGGGTCCAACGGCGGGCGAGTACTGCCGCCGAGGACTCGCCCCCTCAACGGCGCTGAGCCGCCAACGTTGAACGCTGACACATGCGTCATCCTGCCCTCGCCAAGTCTCAAAGGGGTGGTTGACTTCTCTGGTTGGCAGCTTACCGTACTGCCGTGCGTACACGACATGGCCGCCAAATCGAAGCACAACAGTGGAAGTAAAGCGGCATCGCAGGCGCGAATGCTGCAGCTCTCGCATAACTGCATTACCTCTCTGATTGCGACACCGGCATCAGCGACGCGCGTTCAGCCCATCGCACTCGCGAACTTCACGAAGCTTGTGATGTTGGATGTGAGTCGCAACGAGCTGACGAGCCTTGACGGCGTGGAGAAGATGAAATCTCTCCGCGTTCTGCAAGCCTCACACAACAAAATTGTGGATCTTGAGCCACTCTTCCGTCCTGATTCCTCTCTCCAGCGGTCCGCGACACTGCGCGTGCTGGACGTCAGCTTCAACCAGATCCACACCCTTCTGCCGAGCTCATCGGACACCGCGGATAGTTCCCTGCACTGCCTGCACACGCTTATGCTCTCCTACAACCGTCTGACGCAGCTGGGTGACTTGGAGAGGCTCTTCCCCGACGTGCTGGAGCTCCGTATCATTCGGAATCAACTCACTGAGCCGCCGCAATCTCTTCCAAAACGAATCTCTCGTCTTGAGCTTCAACAGAACTACCTTGATGAGGACGCCCAAACCCGCATGCGCGAGCTCCAGCGACGCATGCGGTACTTGCGAGAGGTTGAGTTAGGTGAGCAGCGAACAAGACAGGAGGTCGCCTCCGAGACCGACAACACCACTGCTGGTGAAGGCATCCAAGACAGTGGGAGCGAAGAGGATGTGACGGAAGATGGCGAGGTTCACCACGCCGTTGACGATGATGACGCAAGTGAGGCCGAGAGTCGAGACACGGTGGATGCAACTACCCTGCCGTGTATGGAGGAGGAGGAGGAGGAGGAGGATGGTCAAGGCGGAGACGCAGGGCAGATCTCGTTGCGAGAGGTGGGTGCCCAACCCCCCGGACCTCGCGTCCCTTCACACAACACATTCGTAGATCCCGCGGTACCGGTTCGGCTGCAGGATCTCCGATGGCTAGAAAATGCCCAGCGGGAGGTGACTGCCATGCTTGCAAGTGTCTTTGCGACCGCTGCGCTGCAAGCTTCTTATTGCGTCTCACACGTACGGGTTCAGCCGCGGGTTAACAAGACGGAGCTCACTAGGGTGCTTTCCCTCATCCATGAATTTTATTGCGGCACGGAGCCAACGGTGCCGTGCATGCCCCTCTGCTTAGGCGATACCAAACGAGACGGAGTGGTGCAAGCCGGTGCAACTCTCGCGGCGTTGTTGACGTTGACGGGGAAACCACCCTGCCTATCACTCACGCAGTCGACGACAGAGCCGCAAGAAACGGTGGAGGAGGTGGGGGTGGTCGAACACGACGTGGATGGGAAGGAGAATGCTCTTCCACAGCAGCGGCAGCGAGGGAATTTGCATACACTGGAAGAGCGGGCACTGTGTCCCACACCCGCCTCGCTGTTTATGCCGAAGGGAAATCTGTTCACACGTGGGACGTGCGGCCGGGAGTGGCTCATTGGCGAACTGAAGGCACCACTCAACTGGAGTCAAACAAGCCAATGCCACGGTCTCTGTGGCTCGTACTTGATGCGACGCACAAGGCAGGAACGGATTGATAGACGACGTAAGCCTCCTGAGGTCAGCAATGCACCGCAAGACGGAAAGGTCAATTGTGAACGCATAGTGCTGTGATAATAGTTTCCTAGTCGCCTCTTCTTTCTACCTCTTCCTCTTCCTCTTCCTCTTTTTTTTTTTTTTTGTTTCTCTCCCCCTTTCTCCTTTCACGAGTGTTTGTGGCCGTGTACGTGTGCAAGCTGAATACACTGAAGGGTGTGCGTGTGTGTGAAGACACAGAAGTGTGCTGGAACGGAGCAGAATAAAAGAAAAGAGGGGGAAAAAAATAGAGCTCCTCGAGGCGGTAGCCGGCTGGCACCCCAATATGAGCATTCATTGGAACCACATGTATTCACGCCTACATCCACATGTATACATGTACGCTCAAGCGGGATAGCCGGTGGTGCAGTCTGTGAGAGTCGTTTTTTTTTTCCGTTTTTTTTTTTTTTTTTCTCTTTACCTTGGAGACACATCATCTTCCGAGGAATGGCCGGGGACTTAGCGAAAAGGAAACAGCCAAAAAGAAAACAAATATATATATATATATATATATATATATAATTTTCTATATCCCTCCCCCCCCCCCCCCCTACTCCTTGCTTGCCTCGTCTGCGCGTGGGTGTGTGGGTGTGGCAATGTCATCCAAAAATTACATGTGAAGGGCATTAGAGAGCAATTAAAGATGTTTTTTTTTTATTATTATTATTGCGTGCTTGCGGAAGTGCCGCCTCACCTCTCAGTGGTGCTCAGTAGCTGGGCCGCGCTTTGGCGTTGAAGACACCCCTCTATATCTCTATGCCTATGTATATCTCACACTTTTTGTATGTATGTTGCTTCGCATCACTGTGGTGGGAGGAATGCTCCATTGCACGGGGCAGTAGATTGTGTAGTATTCTATTAGCGTATAAATTGCACACACTGCATATGCGGTGGTTTCTCAGGATGCTGCGGTTTGGAGCGGCGTTTATTCTCTTGTCACTGGGACATTATTTTGCTGCCCGTTTTCTTCCAGTGGCGGACTGCGATGAGACGTTTAACTTCGTTGAGCCAATGCATCAGTTACTTTATGGTAGCGGACTGCAGACGTGGGAGAACTGCCCCCGCTACGCCCTGCGCTCCTGGCTCTTTGCGTGGATCTACGCCTCCCCCGCGCTTCTCGTGATTGGGGCGCCACGCCTGCGAAACGTCGATGTATACTTTTTTAATCGCATCTTTTACGGGCGCCTGGCGTGCCTAAGTGAGTTGTTCCTGGTGTACAGTGTGTGGGAGGCGGTCTCCGGCAGGGCTGCAGCAGTGACGTTGTTGTTGCTGTTGTTCAACTACCCCGTTCCTCACGCCGCCGTGAGCGCGCTGCCGACGAGTTTTGTCATGATCAACTACTTCATGGCGCTGGGATGCTGGCTGCGCAGCGGACGCAGGAACGTCAGGCACACAAGCACCCCTGCGAGACAGTCACAGCTGCAGCAAACGGAAACAAATTATTTCAGCGTCTTTGGAGCTGTATTTTTTGTTGTCTTTGCCTGCGCAGTCGTTTGGCCGTTCGCGGGGTTTGCGGTTCTTCCGGTGGCTCTGGATTTGCTTATGCGGCACCCAAAGGCATCGATCTTGTCGCTACTTGTGTCGCTCGCCCTCATTCTGCCGCTGGCGGTGGGTTTCGACGCGTTGTACTACTGCCGTTTGACCTGGAGCGCGTGGAACCTTGTGCGGTACAACTTGAAGGGTGGCGCAGAGCTCTATGGGGTGGAGCCGTGGTATTACTTTGTCAAGAACCTTCTTGTCAATGCCCCCGCGCTTTTCCTCGCCGGCGCACTCGCACCTTTTGTACTTTTTCTTTCACCTGCGCTAGACATGGGGCAGCGCAACAACCGGAAGCATAAGGAGGGTAGAGGCGTCCATGCAGATACATCCACAGTGTTGCAGAAACACGCCGCGCAATCTTCTTTTCCGTCTTTTTGCTCCCTGACGAGCGCAAAGGCACTTGTGGTGTCTGTTTCTACCGCGTTGTCGTCGTCGACAGCAGCCTCATCGTCGCTGTCGCGGAGTCGCATGTTGCTGTGGGTATCCCCCTTCTTCGTGTGGTTTACGTTTTGGCTCACGGTGGCACACAAGGAGGAGCGTTTCATGGCCCCGGTGTACCCATTTCTTGTCCTTGCCGCCGCGCTGAGCCTCACGTGTGTCTTCTTCTCACCGCGCTCAGCCCTCAACACGAGGACCGGCACCAAAACAACGCCGAAACGACACGCTCAGGTTTGTGTGACACCGTCACGTAAGACTTGGCTGCTTCCCGCCGCGGGTTGCATTCTCCTGCTGCTCTCCGGGCTGCTGTCATTCTCGCGCGGTTTGGCTGTCTACCACTTCTACGCCGGACCGCAGCGACTGATGTATGACAACTATGATGTGCTTCAGCATGCTGCAGAGTATAAGCGTGTGGCGAATGCAAATGCGGGTAACGCGACAACATTACATGATCTGTACACGGTTTGCGTTGGACGTGAGTGGTACCGTTTCCCCTCGTCCTTTTTTCTCGACCCACAGAGAGCCCGGGTGGCGTTCCTAAAGACGGACGCCTTTGCAGGGGCACTTCCGCTTCCATTCACGCGACACGGTGGCCATGCCACATGTAACTGCGGCGCTTCTGGCGTAAACGACCTCAACGAAGAGATTGCCGAGCAGTATGTGTCGGATGCCGCCGTCGAATGCGACGTCATTCTTGATAGCCACAGTGCAGATGATCTGCGCGAGTTAAAAGATTATCCACCGGACGTCTTTGCGTACCCGTTGGGGACCACACAGCAGCGGTTGCTCGACGTGGCCAGGACCTCGATGTGGTGCCGAGTGTTGTATTACCCGTTTGGTATCAGCGAGCGGTGTGCTGTGTGGCGGCGGGTTGAACTGTTGAGCAAGCACCGTCCCACTGCTGTTGCTGCATCATGACATTGCCGTGAGTGGGTGCGGGGGCGAGGCAGCGCGAGGTGGAGTGAAAAATTATGCAAGAGCGCGGGGAACAGGAGTGTAGGAGGCTGCCGCAGCAGCACGGACGCGAAAACAAAAAGTAAGGCGGAGCGGCGTCTCCCATGATTTTAGATCTTTCCTCTGTGGGAGGCGTGAGGGGCAATCCGCTGTAATCCCTTGCAGTTGCATGCTATTTTTGTTGTTGTTGCTGTTTTCCCGTTCCCTTCCGCCGTTGTTGCTGTGATGTTGCCCGGTATTAGGCGGAACTACAGACTGTGAACGTGTTGGGACACAAAATACGTATATATATATATATATATATATATATATATATATAAGAGAGAGAGAGAGAGAGTAG